ATTTTAATTTTCTGCTCAATACAGATTTTTTTAAGGTACAATCTTCAAAACCAGTAACAGTATAAGAAAATTACAGCTGTAATAGTTTTCTACAGTTTTCCAACATAGGTGATTCTAGACCCTATTCAGTCACCCTAAAACTCTAAAAAAATGATCTTCCCCTTCAAATGTCAACCAAAACAATTGCTGCTGTACTGAGCCTGAAATGCAAAAATCACCCGTTCTCCAACATAAGTAAATTATTCCAACTGAAGTGTCACACATGGTTTGAACATCCAGACAAAAAAAGATAGCAGCCTTATGCCAAACCTTCTAATGCATTTAAATGTACTGTTCCAGTCAAATAAGAACACTTAAAAATTGAGGTTCTTTTCTCTTTGGTTCCGTAAAGAACCGTTAACATTCATGAAACTTTTTCAATGCACAAAAGCTTCTTTAGATTATAAAATGTTCCTATATAATAATGACACTATTGTCTTTTAGAGCTGCACTGTCACCATAGTTGAGGTTCCATAATCGATTCTGCCATTTTTCTGTTTATCACTGTTCAGCTGTTTTGCCACAATCTGTATTGCGTAAAGCACTATAAAAATAAAGTTGAATCTGTATGCATCATGCCGTGTGTTTCTGCTGTAATTCATAGAGGTGTATTTACATTAGAACTACTATGAGCTCATAACTGCCTCCCTGTAACTAGTAAGTGGCTTTACCAGCAAACACTTCACTTCTTATTACCCTGAACCCAACCAGTAGCACAGGATTCTCCAAAACCACTGTTTATTACATTTACAGTAATATGCCCCATTTTTACAAAAATAAATAAATGTGCTTGAGAAATTTATTTTTTCTTTAAAAATTAGATAAATCCATTGAGTTTAAAACATTTGCTTAAATCATCATGGGCCTTTATTATTACATCCATTTTATTTAATCTCATGCGATGTCTGAATTCCACTGGAATTTTAATTTCACTCACATACTCACACACACTCTCTTCTCTCTCACACACACGCACGCGAGAGAAATTCAGGAAAATTAAGACAGACTCTTTGAGATCATTTGAGGTCTATTCCACTGGAATCTTAATTTCACTCACACACACACACACACACTCTCTCTCACACACACGCACACACACACACTCTCTCTCTCTCTCTCTCGCTCTCTCTCTCTCTCTCACACACACACACACACACACTCTCTCTCTCTCTCTCTCACACACACATACACTCTCTCTCACACACAGACACACACACTCTCTCTCTGTCACACACACACGCACGCGAGAGAAATTCAGGAAAATTAAGACAGACTCTGAGATCATTTGAGGTCTATTTTAGGTCAACCAGTGGATTATTTATTTTTAATTGAACTATAAAGTACATTCAGCTCGTTGAAAGTTGTAGAAAGTTGCATATAAAAGAATTTACAGTTGTTGAGGAAAACACAAATGACTAATTTTGTAATTTTTCTCATTATAAATTATCTGATCAACTACTACAGGTGTGATTACAACTTTACTACACAAACACATTAGAACACATTTATTAATGTGAAGCACATATGAAGGAGACACAGCCAGACAGGGGACAAATACAAACACATAAATAGACAGAATCTGTCACTGACCTGTCAATAAAAGGACAGCAGGAGCAGCAGCGGCAATGCAGAGGATGAGCTCTAATGAATTAACAGTAGAAATATCTGCAGAGATGACTGGGAGCCATTTAGCATTGCTGTATCAATTTATAGAGAGTGCACTATTAGTAAGAGTTTAAATGGGCTTCAGGTTAATAGCATTTGCAATTATTTACCATAGACCATCAATTCTGACCTCGCTTAGTCTGTATTCAGCCCGCTACTATTTCAAGGCTATTGAGCTTTTTCTATTTGTTATTTCATTTTAAATAATAAGGTCTTTTAATGGTGGGTTATTAAATACAGGTGTTCCCCGATAACAAGCACTCAATTAATGGGAAATGACATTTACGAGCACACATAATTTGTTAAATTCACGTAACAAGTTTAAAATTACCTTAATGAGAAACACCTGACAAAAAGAACATTTTCCAAACAAAACGAAGCATTGATTAACATAAGTATGGGATTGTTGCATCAGAACTGAATTAGCTAATAATTTCCTGGAATTCATTTTTAATATATATATAGTTATATTTTGATTTATTCTATAGTTTTGAAAATAGAATATTTAAAGTTTAGATAATTTGGATACTTAATACATTTTTGTAATTAAGTAATAAAAAGAAAAAAAGACACAGAGGGTTTTCAAAATAACAGCCATTAAATTTTGCTTAAGTAACATGTCAAATATTTGTAATAAAAAAATGGATTGCAAAAATTCTAAAAAAAAAAAAAAAAAACCGCTTTATATTTGTTTACAACTCCCTACTGCTAAGTTAATTTTGGTACATAATAGTGTGTCTAACCAATCCCAGTTTTCACAACAACAAAAACACTGCATTTGTGCATTAAAAATGCTTAAAATAAGTTGTACTAGTGGGACACCACAGTGTATTCCTAAAAAGTGCCAGGAACTGTTAAACTGAAGCACATGCCTCTTACAGTATATCCTTTAAAAACAGGTGCAACTAACACAAACATCAAACAACAACTTCTGCTGGCTTGTGGAGCAACGTCCTCAAAAAGTGTGGAAACAAGTGGGACTTCATCAATAATAGAACAAAAGCTGTAGCACCTCTGGCTTACCAGCCTAAAACAAACACAATGAAAGTGTTCAGAGAAAGCTCCTAATGAGCCAGCCCCGCTTCTACTGCTTCTCAAATCAATGTCTTCTAAGCCACCCGCTCACACACACACACACACACACACACAGATCAATGAGGCTTTAGGGAGAAATTCATCCCTCCATTATTGCAGATTCAAACACAGCTCATCACCTGTGAGGAGTCAGGTTAGCCAAACTCTAGATTAACCGTTAGGGAAAAACAACTGGCCTTTAAATGGACTGAAATCATGGAGTAGGTTAAATCTTGGCAGTTATCAATTCCATGAAACAGGGAGACTTTGTTGTGGTATAATTGGAAAACATCAAAAGAATACTGAAATGAGCATTTATGGAAGAAAAACATGGAATTTGTCTTCTACAGATCGACAGGAAAGAGAACTTGAAAACGGCTCTGATCCTGGAAAATGTGTGATTTTGTTTCAAAAGGTTTTTATCTACAGTATATAAGATAAAAACATAAGCATTTTTAAGATAATGGCATGTATATAAATAAATATTGTGTGTGTGTTTTAAAATTTTAAAACAAGCATTTATGGAAGAAAAACATGGGATTATTTGCGTTCTATAGACAATTATATAGAATTACTGTTATCTTTTATAGATTTGAAAGCAAATTTCAAAATCTGAAATCTTCTTTCTCAGTGGATTTTTTTTTTATCTAAAGTATATAAGAGAAAATATATAAGCATAATATCAATATTATATATCATAATATGTAATTATATTATAGCCTAAATTCTGAAACGAGCATTTAAGGTTGAATATATCAATATTACATTATAAAATATCATTACATTATATAATTATAATACAATAATAAGTTAATTCTGAAATGAGCATTTATGGTTAAAAAACATGGAAGATTTTTCCTTTAATTGTAATGTCCCTGAAATAAGTCAGACTTTAAAAATATACCTATACTTTAGGTGCCTGAAAAGACGTCAGTCATGAGACCTGCGACTTATCTTTTTCTATTAAAGATGAACACTGCTAGTATTTATGTCATTAACTGTCTTTTACTTCAATAAGCAAAATCCTTCCTAATTCCATAAAAAGGAATAATTTCCATCATGACAGGATATAGTACTAAATTACAAGGGCATAAGGTCTGTACTGCAATTACTGTAATTCATCTGCGAAAGGTGACATGGAATGTATCTAGAGGTAGAAAAGGACGTTTAAAACTAGAACTTTTTTGCATTTGATTTTTCTTTTCATGCAGCTGGATTTTAATGACCCAATCTTTTTGAAAGGCTGGGCACGTTGTGTGATGTCAAAAGCTCATCGCTGCAATTACGACTCAAACTCTTTGCAATCATCCATCAGGGAGGCTGAAGTTCAAGAGTTTTATTGTCATGGTTTATCTGCTTTAATCACCTGAAGTGAAGTGGAAATAAATTTAAAAATACATTCTGCGAAGGCTAATGACTGTAGCGGGTAGCTTGTGGGTGGACGGCGGAGACGTGGTGGGCGGCAAACGTCACGCAAACCCGTGTCACTCGACTACAGGGAACAGTGGGCTGAAATTAATGTCCAGCAGCAGACTCCTAATGTAAACTGACAGGGAAGGGGGCAGCGTTACAGCGCTGTACTCTAATTACAACGGTTCCCATCCATGTTTGGCTAAAAGAACACAATGGCTTGTACAAATTGACTGTTTTGATCCCTAAATTGCTACTTTCCAATATAACATAATTAGAGTGAGATTTCTGACCAAATCATTTTAAGACAAAGAAAAATCTCAGTCACAGGCTGGCAAAAAGACTTCAAGACTCCCCTGCTGATACAATTTGTTCCTGTACAAATATGAAACACAAACACACACACACAAAAAAACACAATCATGCTAGAAGGATGGTATATCTCTCTCTTAAATGAGCATTTCAAAAGTGGACACGATCCAATTTATTATCAAATTTCCAACATCCCTTTTCACACATTGTTGGCAGGTACATTGGGTTCCTCTCAAAAATCAATTTTTTCAAAAAAAATTTGGTCCGTGCTGATATGCATAATATGCATTTATACTACATGCTTAAATAAAATGACCTGTGTGATGGGAATTGAAACACCTATAAGCTTGTTTATAAAACTATAAATGTTTTGGTCTAGTAATGTTAAATCAAAAATCTAAAACCATTGGAACACTGTATTAAAATGAGCCACAGAAAAAGTCATTAAAACAGAACTGGTGACTCTTGACCAATCATAGGACAATGTGGGTGGCTCAAGTCTAACTGCTTGTTCCTTGAAGAGCTTCAGCCATGAAAAGCTTGCCCAGGTTTTGAGATGTGAACTCCTTGATGGTTTGGCAGTATGTGTTGATTTGACCTAAAGAGTAGATGGGGAAAAAAATTAGAAATATAAAATTCAAGGCAAAAACACTGCAGTTTATGGCATGAGACAGTGAGAAAGAAAGAAATCTGGAGGGAGTTGAAGAAGGTACAGAATACAGAGATAGCGAGAGAAACAAAGAGAAACAGAGGCAGGGTGGGCTGCCCGCTGAAGTGGCTCAGTTAATGTACTCCATTATGTACTGAAGGCTGGCCATCAAGCTCTTAGGTGATTGTCTTTCCGCTTGGCAGCACTGCTGCTCACGCCACCGAGGAGTTTGGAGTTTAAAAGACCTTAAGAAATGGTGCTCCCCTCCAGGGCACCTACAAGCGTCTAATTCAGCCCTAGATCAAGCCATTACTCCACAGCACTACAAAGAGCTGCTCATGGAAACAAATATTACCTGATGCCATTGTGTCTGCATCTCTTCTGATCTTGATATTAAATGTTACAGCTGGCTCCTATTAAACTGGGATAGTTTTAGGAATGAGTTTGACCTACAGCAGTGTCAATTATATATATATATTTGCAAAAATGCCCATAATATAATCCATTTCAAAGGCTGAACATTCAAAATCTGAAACAGCGTGTTGCTGAGTAAACAGCATGACTCTAGAGTTACATAACAGAGTCCAGCAGTCGAGGGTACAAGACGACATGACAGACATATCACCCTCCTCCAGCTATTTTCTCTCAGACAGCGGCTGATCTATAATATACTACCTCCATAACAAGTTAGAAACAATTGCTTTAAATCAATCTCTGGCAAGGCCTCTGTAATGTTCCTCATAAATGATGCCATTCTGCATCTCTTCTGATCTTGATATTAAATGTTACAGCTGGCTCCTATTAAACTGGGATAGTTTTAGGAATGAGTTTGACCTACAGCAGTGTCAATTATATATATATATATTTGCAAAAATGCCCATAATATAATATAATCCATTTCAAAGGCTGAACATTCAAAATCTGAAACAGCGTGTTGCTGAGTAAACAGCATGACTCTAGAGTTACATAACAGAGTCCAGCAGTCGAGGGTACAAGACGACATGACAGACATATCACCCTCCTCCAGCTATTTTCTCTCAGACAGCGGCTGATCTATAATATACTACCTCCATAACAAGTTAGAAACAATTGCTTTAAATCAATCTCTGGCAAGGCCTCTGTAATGTTCCTCATAAATTACCTCTCCTCCCTTCCTTCCTCCCTTCCATCTCAACTCCACAGGACAGAAAAAGGGACAAGTCCAAATCTTTTCAGATCCAAATGAGACGAAATGAGGAAGAGACGGTTAGCGATGTGTTGGGATGCCTCACATCGATCAAGAGCAGAGATTTGGCTTCCATTACTGAGCAGACACTAATCATCCACTTAAAGCGTGTAAACACAACTTGTAATGTGTAAACATTATATATTTCTACTTATGCTGGAAAGCCTGACAAACTGATATGAAATAACAGTTCGATTTTTAATTGAACCATTTTGAACTTTTAAGATTAAAAAAGTTTGCATGTGTTTTTTGTTAAGCATCATATTTAAGGTTTTTATGGCTCATATAGTACGATAATGAAGAGACTCGTACTTGAGGGAAAATTCCCAAACTGAGCAAAAATATGCAATTTGGTGTTCTTGCTGATGTTTATATCATATTTATATATGTGTGTGTGTGTGTAATAATATGTGTATTATATACAGTGGGTACGGAAAGTATTCAGACCCCCTTAAATTTTTCACTCTTTGTTATATTCCATACAATTTTGAATTATTTTTACTATTTAAATATGTATTTTCAATTTGAATATATTTTAAAATGTAATTTATACCTGTGATTTCAAAGCTGAATTATTAGCATCATTATTCTTCTTTTTATTTCAGATAAATGCTGATCTTTGGAACTTACTAAAAAAAATGTACTCAACTGTTTTAAATATTGATGATAATAATAATAATAATAATAATAATAATAATAATA